CTTGTCGTTCCAGTCGTTCGGTGAATCGCATTTACTTCTTCATTCACAGATAAACATGCCGCATCTAATCTTGTTTGTGCAACCACAGATGCAGTCTTGACATAATTGTCAAAGCTCGATGCATCGTCTCCCCGAAGAATGGCACGCAGAATGGCACCATCATTAATGCTAATTATGAATTGGTCACGAAGTCTGCTGTCTCTCTCTGAAGGCAAGAACTTGCAGTCTTGAGCTGCTCGAATCACTCAATGCGCGAACGTCTGTATAGATTCTTCAGTACCTCGGTAAATTTTTCCAAACTCATACCGTGAGATTAACGATGATTTTCTTATTTCCAACGTTTCCAATTTCGTTACCAATTCTTCGTACGAAACATCCTCTGGAACTTCCGGTGCTGTTAATTCTTCCATGGTCTGCTAAGTCTTTAACGGCAGAGCGGCAAGCAAAAACGCTATGTGTTGATCTGAAGTTAAATTGTCTATTGCAAAGAAGGAAGTCATCTGTCGAATAAATCGCTTTGGCTGTCCATCTTCGTATTGCGGAGATAATAGACATGCCCGGTTAGCTTGTTGTTCGACACATTTAAACACCATTTTTTTGTTGTTAACGTTTTCTTTTTACTTACATATAAAATTCGCATTTACAAAAAAAATTGTTCACTTTATATAGCATAACATACAACTTGTGACTCTTGTCGACAATTAATAAAAAACGTTATAATAATGGAAAATCACAACTTGTGACTTTTGTCAATAATTAGCACGCTAATTATTAATGACGCACAACACTTATAAATGACTATAAAATTTTTACAAAGTAGTTAAATGTAAATTCTAAATATAAATATAACTAAATATCAAAAAATTATTTATATTATATTCATAACTATATTTGCAATAAATACTTTAAAATGTTGTTTATATTATGATATTTTGATTAAACATGAATGATTTGATTAGGCAAATTGTTTTTGAATCAAGTTACAAATTACTTTCGATGATTGTTTACAATAACTACATTTTATTTAAATTATTAAAGTTATTAATATTAATATCAAAGTTATCAATAATATTATATATTTATAAGGTAGTTTTAATAATTAAATACAATAAATAATTTTATTTTTTAAATAAGTATATTTTCACAAATTTAAATTTTTCAGAAAAACGTCGACTTTTACCTTTTATGTTTTACAAGACAACACATTTTTTAAACTTTAACTTAAAGTTTATGTTAAGAAAAACATGATTTTTTGCACAAATTTTTTTGGAACAGAAGTCATTAATTTTAATTGTTGCAATGAACGCAATCGATGACTTCTGAGTGTAAACATTGGTGTGCAAATTAAAGTTGCTTTAAATAATTAAATTAAATGATAAACTTAATACGAAGTAGTTTTTTACATTGCTTGTAATATACATATATAATATACATTATAATATACATTTAATTTTATTATAAATAATACTTTTTATAATAGTAAACATTAAACTATATTATTAATATCATAAATGTTATTCACATTTATAAATTTGAATAAAATAGAACAATAAAAATAAAATAAAACAATATATATTGTTTTATTTTATTTTTATTGTTCTATTTTATTCAAATTTATAATACATATTGACCTCATTTAAGACATGCCCCAAATTATAATATATATTTATCCATGTTTGTGTTTTCACTTCAGACTCTCTCTTGAGTCTTCATTTTAGAATACCATGTCTTCTTTTCAGAATTTTTCGTTGATTTGTTCTTTGAAATTAGGCTAAGTTAATTTAATTGTAAAGAAATACAGATACCATCACTAAAATGGATTTCATTAGTTATAGAATTTCAAAGAACATTGATTTTTCTAAATAAAATATTAAGCATTCATGTCAACACGAGCAAAAAAAGGTGTAATAAATATCTGACCAAAATTCCAAAATCTGGCTAAAATTTTGCCGGATTTGCTACATTTTTACCAGAGCCGGATTTGGGCAGGATTTGTAAAAATGGCCGGATTTTGGCCAGAGCTGGAGCCGGAACCAAAATTCAGTGCAGTCCTAGTTAAAACAAACCCAGCTATATCAATAATTTTTGCACTTAGTCAGAAGTTATAGAACGAAATCAGTAAAAAAAAGTTTAACAGTAAAAAACAAAAACAGTAAAAAAAATTATTTAATGTTTTAAAATTTGTTAAGGCATTAGTTTAGATTATTAGAACTAAATTAAAAAAAAGATTTAACTTAAAGATCGTTGCACATTAATTTTAATTTGATGCTACATTTGGAGAAGGAGTTTAGAAAAGAATTAATGAAAAAATTGGTTTTAAAAACTTTTCCTGATATTTGATATCATATACACCATATGAAAAAGAGTATAAAGAAGACCATGACAGATTTTGTCAAAAGCTTTTCATATATTATAAACTGAATCTTTTATTTAAAAATTTAATGACCATGGTCCCACAGTTGCATGGTTTTTCATAATGTTATGTTTCTATTTAAATATGAAATTATAAAAAAGTTATAGAACTTTTTTACAATGGGATTTAATTCCCTTCCCGCTGTTAATCTGTTTTGCAGATCAATCTGATGTGTGAGATATGACATGGATATACTCCATTTGTGGAAACTGATTTAATTTATTTTAGATGGAATCCATGGTAATTTGATCTGGATATTTTTGCTACTTCCTTAATAATTTTGAACGTCTTTCTACTAATAATTGAGAAACTGCCCAACTTTTCACTAAATATTCTCTCTTCAAAATTGCATTTTACTATCCCACAGTGCTCCTAATATAATTGCATACATTTCTTTTATGCCCCAATTACTAGCCAGGTTGAGTCTTTGAAGTATCAGTTTTTCAGTTCACTTATATTATTATAGTGTGTATAAACTCCCATGTTAAAGTTAAACTCCCATGACAATAGTTTCAGTTACAATAGTTATTAAAATAATCATTAAATAGTGATAATAAATTAATTTACAACACATTAACTTACAACACAATTATCTGTGACATCTACCATTCAACTGTTGCTATCATTTTTAACAAGTATTTTGCCACTATCCAAAAAAAAATACTATACCTTAAAATGACTTTAGAGACTTTCTAAATAATCTTAGCAGAAGTTTGTTCTTCTCATAATGAATCTTTAAAATAAATGGTCTGGTTTGTCCCTTCCTATACATTTACTTATACTTATTACTGACGCGCCTCAATTCACAATGATCAACAACTCATTTAAAATTGGTATTATCCCAGATATTCTTAAGATGGCTAAATTACTTAATAATTTTATCTGTTTTGATTGTATCACAAGATTCTGTGCTAAGACCATTGCTCTTTTTTATACTAATAACCTTAATAATTCTCTAAATTTTTCCACAGTTTATCACTTTAGTGACAACACAGATCTGCTTTCAATAAATAAATCACTAAAATAGATAAACAAAAGCAATTATCTACTCCGATAGCTTCTTTCCAATAAACTATCACTTAATTCAAAAAAACTGAAATAATCATCTAATACTGAAATTAATCATGTGTAATGCTAAGGTATCTCAAACATTCCTTATCATAAACACTCCTTATCAATATCTATGTTGTACTTAAATCTTCTCAGATATGCTTGTCAAATATAGACAAACCCAGTCTCAATTGTTTTTAAGTTTATCTCACCTCTAAAATAAAATCCAAAAATAATCTATTTTCAGCATTTTAACTTAACAACTAATCCAAGTTAAAATGCAACATCCTCAAAAAAACCTTGTGATGGAGATTCTAAGTAAACTTAAAAATGCAGATACTAAGTATAAGTCAATTGATGTGGCTCATGATTTAAAAAAAAAAAAAAAAAGAAGACCTTAAAATTCTTGTTGCAAAGGCGAAGGAAAAAACAGCAAGAACAGACCAGAACAAATGAAAATCATAAGGCTAAAGAAATATTGCGGTAATCTATAATTGATAGAGCTTGCACAAATAAAATTGACCAAAATAATGAAGCCCCGAAAAATTATGAAGTCTATTTGAATATAATGATGAACCATCGTTAGTATGTTTGTACTTAAATGCAAAAAGTTTGAATAATAAAATTAGTGAATTCCAAGCTATAGGGTTGGGCTACAGAAAGTGTATTGAACTCTGACCTTAAATTAGCTACTACATATAAAATAATATTCAAATTAAAGCATTTCATTCAACATTTGACTGTTTGACCATTTAAATACTGATTTTTTACAAGTGATAATTTATTTTTTTTATTCATTTTCATATAAGTATTCTTTTTCTAATCCTTACTATTGATTGTTATAATTGATTACTGTGATTATTTCTTATTATTTTAAAGTAAATTATAAATTGTTGTATTATATAGTTGTTTGTTGTTGTTGTTATGTCCAAATTATTATTTTATTACTATTTAATATAATCTTATTTTAATGTATTGTACTTTTTTTTTCACCAATTAAGATGGACAATTGAAATAAGCACTTGTACTATGCGTAAATACTACATGAAATATAAAATCTACTTCTTTATATATTTGATTTGATTATTACCAACTTATAATTAAATCTTTTCAACATAATTATTGTATAAAACATAACAATTAGTATAGAATTAGATGCATTTTCAAACAGTACTTTTTAATTGCTGTTCTAATACTACATTTATTAATAACAACTTTAAGTTTTTATTAAAAACTGTTAAATGGTTTTAATTGGTGACAATATAATATATTACATTTTGCATTTAACAAATTTTAAACTAAACCCACCAATTAAAACCATAAAACTAAATTTGACGTTGTTTAAAAACCTATTCTGATTTAATAATTGAATTTTATGTTAAGAATGTTATTACTTATTTGATTTACTTTTTAAGAAACCACTTTTTACTAAATTGTAAATTACTCTCATAGATTATTTGTTTAGTTTGAAATTTCATAAAATTATTTGAAGAATTAATTCAATAAACCTGAAATATTTGCTTAAAAAAAAACATACCAAGCAGATCTTACTGTTTCAATAAAACTTTTATCTGCAAATAAAAAAGGTTGCTTTTGTGACGTTTCAAAACATGCAAGATTTTTTTTTTGATATATATTTTTCAACTCAAGTCTTCTATAATCAGGAGCCTTAAATAAAAATATATTTTGTTAAGTTAGAAGTTTAATAAATGATAACACTTTTTTAAATATATGCGTACTCACATAAGAAAGATCATTTAAAAGCATTGAATTTCTTTCGCATACAGTAGGATTTAAATTTGATGGAGGTTGAAAATCAGATAAAGTTGCCATGATATTAAAATCTTATCAAAAATCCTATGAAAACTATTCTTTTTTTAAATTTAGTAGCAACAATAACAATCAAAAAGCAATTTCATCAACAAAACTTGAAAAAGTTTTCGTCGACAACTAAAGAGAACTATTGATACAACTATTTGAATTACAACTTGTATTTTTTTACAAGTTTGTTATTTTACCAAATATTTAATAAATGTATTAACTACTTTATAAATATTTATATTATTTATAAATATTAATAATTATATAATAATTATATTATTTATAGAGTTACGATCCAAAACAAATCAAAAATATATAATTAGACCGGTAGGCACGTGGTACCTATATTTTCAAATTTTAGGATGACCGTATGGCGGTAAATCTTGTTGGGCAAAGCCCAACAAAATTTATAATTTGCTCAACTTTGTTTGCCGATTCAATTTGGTTCAAACAACTTATTGAAAAAAAATTTTGTGCAAAATATTTTATTAAACTCGAATGTTTTATTAGAATTCATCACAATATTAATTTAGCTTAAATTCATTAAAAAACGTGTCCCTAGCAACACCATAGCATCGACTACCTAACATTAAAACAACATTAATTGCAAGCTAGGAAACTTGCGTAACTATAAAGTTTAAGTGAAAGTGGTAGAATTTAAGCTAAAGAAGTATATCAATATCTTATTTAAAATCCATACTTCAAAACCACAATTTTAGCCACATGAAAAAAAAATTGTTTTTAAATTTGTTTTTACCATGCACCATCCCGACGGGCATTTGTTTTTAAAAGTTACGATCTAAATGTATTTTAAATGTCTTTTAAACATTAATGTTTAAAAGACGTTTAAAAGACGTTTAAAACACATTTAAAACGTAACTTTTAAAAACAAATGCCCGTCGGGATGAGTGATTCATTATTTGTTTATTACTATAATCCAGGGGTGGGCAAGTGCGGCTCTTTTTCTATTTATGTATGGCTCACGCTAAATTTATCAATTTCTGCTTTTTAATGCACAGAATAAAGTTATGTTATTCAAATTGTGTGACGTGTGAACTGATGTTGTACGCGCACGATATTATTTATTGTGCAAAAATTCTTCAAATTATGTGCTGTGGTAAGCTATCTTGTTTATTGTGTAAAAATGTATTGATTAATTTAAAATTTTTATTATTTTCTTATAGGCATTTTTATTTACTAATATTTAAATTACCATGAGCTCGAAATATACTAAGAAACCTAAATATGAGCAAGAAAATAGAAATTTTCAAAAAGAATGGTTTCGCTTTTATTGATAATAAAGGAAAGTTACTCTGTCTTATTTGTAAAACTACAATTGCTAACTATAAAGTTAGTTAGCAATTTACGTCGTCACTACCAAACTCATTCTGAATTTTCCGTTAACTACCCACCTAATTCAAAATTACGAACTGAGAAACTTCAATCCTTGCAAACCGATCTTCACAGACAACAAGGATTCTTGTCTTCTTTCAGTAAAGAAGATATTAAATTAAACGAAGCTAGCTCTTTGTTAGCTTGGAACATTGTTCGTGCTAAACGGCATAATGAAGAGGGTGAATTTACTAAACAAAACTTGGAAGAAGTGATGAAAATTCTGGACCCAGACAACAAAAAATTACATAAATTGATAGCACAGGTTCCAATACCACGTCGCACAGCTGAACGTCGTATTTTTGCAATAAGTAAAAGTATTGAAAACACTTTAATATGTAAATTGAAAAAAAAACAGTTTAGCTCTCGACGAATCCAATTATCTATTTTTATCCGGTATGTGTCTCAAGACTTAATTGTGAAAGAAGAATTGTTAGACTTAGCAGCTCTTTTTGATACAACTCGTGGAGCCGATGTTAGAAATGCACTTGACAGTGTAATGAAAAAATTTGAACTATCCTATGAAAAATCCTATGGTAAGTGTTGCAACTGACTTTTTGGCGCGCCTGCAATGGTATTTTATGGTATCCTATCCTATGATAAGTGTTGCAACTGACGGTGTGTCTGTAATGGTAGGCCAGCATCAAGGTCTCATTGGTTATTGAAAACTGATACTGATAAATACCAAGATTCATACCGTTACACTGTATAATCCACAAAGAACACCTTGTTGCAAAATATTTTAAGTATAAGACTGTGAGGAAGATTGTACTACAGTTTGTCAATTTTATTAGGACAAATGCCAAAACGCACCGACAGTTTAAATTTTTTTTGGAAGAATTGCAACTGAATGACGAAACAGAAGAGTTTCCTAACGATTTATCTCTGCGGTGTATTGTACAATGGTTGTCTACTTTCAACGTTTTGAATCGTTTCGTACAACTTTTAAGTCACATAAAAAAATTCCTAAAAGATGTGAAAGGAAAAGATTATCCAGAATTAGATAATGACATGTGGCTTTCGGATTTAATGTTTTTTACAGACATTTTGGAACACCTTCAAGCTCTAAAGTTGGCTTTGCAAAGAAAAGACAAAAACATTATTGATCTATCTCAAATTGTATTATGTTTTGAATCTAAAATTAGACTTTTTGTGAATGACCTCAAAAATCATACATTTAATTATTTTCCGAGATTAAAAGTAAATATAACTAATATTAAAGAAGAAAAAATAGATGAATATAAAGAAAGGTTGGAAAATTTGCAATCAGATTTACAAAATAGATTTGAAGACATCAACATTCTGAAGTCTTCATTTTCTTATTTTATAAATCCATTTATTTGTAACATAATTAAAGATGGCTTTCAAATTTCTGAAGTCATACTAGCTGAGAAAGCGTCTGCAGAATTAGAAACATCGTTCACAGTTAACAAATAAACACCAACAAAACATCGTTCATAGTTAACAAATAAACACCTCACACAATTGTTACAAACAGCTCTAACAAATTTTACTCCAAACTACCAAGAATTGGACAAAAGTATTCATTAATTAAATAAAATTAATAAATTGCATTATTTTTCTTTTTGTTTCTAAAGTTACGTTTTAAAATAAGCAATTTATTGTACAATAAATTGTATCACATACTTGATTTTCACTACTAAACAATACTACAACAATATAAAATATACAAATTTATTGCACAATAAATTGCATAATGTAAAACTGACATTACTCGTTTTGTATTTGTATTATATTATTAAACACATTTATAGCTGTTATAATTATTATTCTTCTTGTCAACTTTATAAATTAAAATCATGTAATTAAACATAAATATATAAACAAAATTTTTTTTTTTTTTCGAGCGGATAAGAAGGCCCCCCCCCTCTCTCTGAGTCTCTCATATACAATGAAAAATCTAAAATATGGCTCTCTTTAATCCAAACTTGCCCACAGCTGCTATAACCAGTGGCGTAGGAAGGTCGCGAAAGTTGTTGTGGGGGAAGGGGGCTGAAAACACATGTTAACTCTTTTGCACCGAAACGGGTTGTTAACAACATTGTAGCAGTTAATCAATAATTAAAGGTTTTTCTTAACAGAGCCATTAATCAAAACTACTTGATCTTATGCTTTAAAGGCTCAGCTTCAAAATTAGCCGTAAAAACTAACTTTTAAAGCTCCGTAATAGAAATAAGGGGTCCATAAATTACGTCACGTTTTAGGGATGGGGGGGGGCAGGTAAGGAGAGGGGATGTTAGTGGTTTATTGACAACTCATAAGTAACTTGTTACTAAAGTGTTACAATATTGTGACGCGGAGAGAGGAGGGGTCTTAAATGGTTTAAAATTTAGTGACGTAGTTTGTAAACGACCCCTAAGTTGAGAGTTTTTTTAGAGAGTTTGATTTTAATTTAAAAAAAAAAAAATTTAATTCACGTGATTATAATGTTTGTTACCACTGATATTTTAATTTTTTTTTTTAAAGATTCATAATGTCTATTAGTTTATATTTAAAAAAAAAAAAAGTTTTAGAGTGCAAATTTAATGCCTTTCATGGTATAAAACTGTTTTTTGTGGTTTTATATTTAGTTAAATTATTGTGGTCCTGGCTAATTTTTTGATAAATTTTGATATTTTGAAGATTTTTAAGTGCTTAAGCACTCTAATTTTATCTATTTTCTTTACAGAATGCACCACGTACACCACTTACACCACTTACAGAATGCACCACAAGCAGTTTTAAGTCCTGATAAGTAATATATTAATTTTTTTAAGGTATGAAGGCAGACTTTTTTTTTTTTGGTAAAAATAAAATAAAAAATTCGCAAAAGTCACGTGATTGTTGTATCCGCCATCATTGGTATTTCATTTTTTTTTTAAAAGAGATACAATTTCTATTTATTTATCTTTTTGAAAATATATAGTTATGGGGTGTAAATATGATGTTGTTTATCCCATATATATCATTTTCAGTATAGTATTTTTATTTTTACTGTACAAATATTAAATATAGGTGTGATAAAATGATCTATTTTTTCAATTATTTATCACACGCAACGTGATTACTTTTGGCGCTTCTGTGGTTCATATATTTTACCTTTAAATTACCAACAAATATTTAATAGTTTTTGATAATTGTTAAGTCAGTTTTACATTAAAAATGTAATAAACTAAACACAACATAATTCAATATTACAATAATATAATTATAAAGTAATAGATTTAATATAACATAATTTAATAAATGTTTAATACGTGAAACAAACTCTATGGTTTTCCAAAATATCGTTGAAACTCATCATTTGCCAATTTAAAATTCTATATAAAAAGGTGTTGATGTCAACTTCTTCCAAAATATCTTTATGAATATGACTCACAATGGTGCTGTTTAGTCTTTTTTGATTCATAGTAGAAGAGAGATATGTTTTTAACATTTAAATAAATAGAATGCCAAGAATAATAAATTTTAAACAAATCTTTTATAAGCATGATTTTACTTGGTATGCTTATAAAAAAAATGATTCTACAGAATCAAATTAAAAAAAAAAAAACATATAATAAGTAAATTATTGGAATTGTTGATAATACATATTTGATTCATAGAAACCATTTAAGTTTGTATTTTTAATTTAAACCGTTTAAACTAATGAAACCAAAGTTCATTCAGTTGTATGATGCGTA